ATCCATTTAATAATTTTCAAAAATATTATACAATTACGTCTAGCTTCAATGTTATGAAATGAAAAGAACTGATTTTTACGAAAAGGGTGCAACCATAACGTTCTTTAACAATATGAAATGTGTGGTGATTAGTGACCGTTAGTCGATGATTATTCAGAAATCGTGAGATGCGGAAATGGTGTGATGTAGGTTTCAGAAAATGGCACTCTCAACACGACACCCAAGAATGGCACACTTACGCAGAAAACTAACACTTTGAGCCCTGAGGATGATCTCAATAAAGATCGAAACGTTGGCACGATAAAGAAAATGTTTTTCTCAAACCTATCTCACACTAGACCGCATCTCACGATTTCTGAATAATCAATATGAAATAAAATAACCATTTTTACACCCAAAAGTTTTTACGCAATTTATCTATGTGCAAGATATCAAGTTTACATTACTTTTCTTAATAATTTTTAATAATACATAGAAAAGGTATGTTCCAAAAGTAATATTTAAGGGAACTTAAGAAAAAAATGTTTAATATATAATAAATAACTAATTAAATGGTAAATAAAAAACTGGAAACACATTAACATTACAATGGGTTCAAATAATACATGGAAAATTTTAAGTATTATTTTTGAATTTTGATCGAAATAAAAACAACCGGGCATGGTGAACAATTCATTTTTATCTTTATGCTGGAGCAAAAATGACATCTTGTAGCGCTAATAAGCAGCATAAAAGAAATAGATCATGTCACTTGACCTTCTTTATGGAAAGAATATTACATATAAGAAGATATGTGGTCAGTTTCCTTTTTATTTATTTTTTTTCCACGTTACTTGCTGGTTCTAAGTTCAAATTATTTTGTTTTACAGAATTTAATTACATGTGGTATATTTTACTTTATAATTTTTAACATAAAAGAAGAGAAGTTATTATATTTTATTAAAAGAGAACTTTGTTTTAAATTAAAATATTATTTTTTTCAAATTATTACAACCAGGATTGCTCATGTGCACCTAAGTCAAATTTTGTATGTTTTTATCACGAAAAGAAAACAAGCGTTTATATTATTTTTTTTTAAATACGAAAATAAATTGGTTTGAATATTTAAATATTATTTTATTTAAAGAAAGTAAAAAAGTACAAACAGGATTGCTCTTGTGTGCCGAAGTCAATCTTTGAATTAATTTTTGTTCCTATAAATCTCAAAAAAATATTTATGTTTTAAGGAATTATTTATGTTTTCCTTTCCCTAAAATATAAAATTGAAAGTAAAAGAAAAAAATTAAATTAGAAAACACTAACATTTTAAGTTATTCATATTCTACTATTAATTTATAAAGCATTCATTTATTTATTTAGATAGATTTATTAGGTATTCATATTTGTTTTTATATATTTATATTTATTTATTTTTTATATATTTTATTTATATTACTATATATATAAACAAAAATATTTATAAAAACAAATGTGAATACCTAACACCATCAGGAAAATTATATTTCTTTTTCCTTTCAAAGAGGAAAAATTAAGGTGACATACATATTACTGTAAATAAGGCTACGTTTTAATTCAAGGAAAATTTCCTAAAAATGTTTGCTGAACGTTAAACCGTTAAAAACTTGCTGAACGACTGAGATTTCATCTAAACAGCAAACAACACACAAATAAGCAAAAGGCAACCCTTATTCAATATTTAATAATAAAATAATGTTTGTTTACTGTACAAAAAGTTTTGTGCGTTGTACCGGCTTCAACAGGACATTAAATTCTCGTTAAAGACTTAACACCTTTTTATAAAGTAGATCCCATCACATCAACACCAGTTTTAAACAGTAATCTGCACACCAGGATTGTAATAGGTTTTTCCCATTATAGCATCTGCTAGCTTTTATGCTGTTTTGTAATATAATTAACAGTACCACTAATGGAAATGTTTTTTTTCCAATCTTCTATTTATCGAATTATTGCACGTTTAATTAGACTATAATTAAGCTCTTTACATCTCAAAATCTTTTGTATGCACGAGTATTACAATTATAAACACTACTAAACGGACTGTCGCATAATTGTCCATAAAGTCGTGGAGTTGTTCAAGTAATTGATTCTGTGGTAAATCTGTGTGATTGTAGTATGTAATTCGTATATGTGTATAGTAAAGTGGTGAAAATGAAGCTACCAACATTCTAATCTTGAAAGCAGAAATCTTGCATGTCTTTTTCAGCTGTCTTAGGCTTCTAAACCCTTCTAAATAGCACAAATAAATATTAAGTTTAAAAATATCATGTCGACATTGGTAAGAGTTGTTTTTCCGTATAAAAAAGAAAATAGCCTTAGACCCCTTCGCTTCCCAATCTGCCAAAACACAGCCGCCGTAGCTTTCTAGACGGCCGGAGGGATCATTGACCTAGCTGGAGCGGTTGCTATGGCAACCATATGGATCACCGCCCCCGACAACCCTTACGACCAGTGACGTAGTGCGGCTATGACGTCACAGGCCAAGGTTATACTTTCCCTTTCATCCCGCCTCTTCCCATCTCTTTTGGCTACCTGGCCAAATCGCCTTTTCACCCCCGCCTACCGACCAAGTCCTCCAATTGTTCAACTTCAGCGGGGTCAAAATTACATACAGACCCGGCGGAACCGATAAAGCTCAAACAACTCAACTTAAATTCTTCGTTGGAAGTATCAAAAACAGTCATATGATGGTTACTGATCATTTTAGTGAATCAGACCAACCCAGCGAGGATAAGCAGACCAAAATGTTTGTAAACAACAAATTTCAGATTCATCACCCTGCAGACCACAGGACGAAATCAAACAAATTCGACTGTCGCATATTCAATTTAAGCCTCCCATTTAAACAAAATGAAATATGCACTTGACTGTACATTTACCAGGAACAATGTCACTATATCAACTTATAATTGTACACATTTTACGAATAAAAGATTTCATTTGCTCTAATAATACAATAACTTAATATTTGCATAAATTATCGTCTCAAAAGTGTAACTAGCATGATTTTTTTGTTTCTTTGACTGACGATGCTAAGACGTTTTACTTTTGCCACGCACGAAACAAAAAACTGATGATAAAATATCGATCAGTTCTTTAAAACATTGTTCACATTAGCTGTTGCTGTTGGTTATTCATTTAATCTCCAATGTTTCGGGGACATTTTTGCATTTTAAAAAGGGGAAAAGCCCACCGAGAGGGAAGACCTTTTCCTTAATAAAAAGGAAAAATGTCACCGAAGCGTGAAAGATTGAATTTCATCCAAAAACGACATATTAGTAATATATGATATTACATCCAAAAGGCCATCCAATATTTCATCATGGGAGAAAATTGACATACCCCGCGAGCATTGGACCCGGAAGGCGTTTTCCTTGATAAAGGGGAAAAATTACGCCAAACAGCCACTACAGCTGTTTTTGATTGACACTTCCATCCAAAAAACGACATATTACATCCAAAAGGCCATCAAATATCCAATATTTCATCATGGGAGAAAATGGATGTACCCCGCGAGCATTGGACCCGGAAGGCCTTTTCCTTGATAAAGGGGAAAAATTACGCCAAATAGCCACTACAGCTGTTTTTGATTGACATTTCCATCCAAAAACGATATATTACATCCAAAAGGCCATCCATACGAGATGTATCCGGAACATGTGTACGTATTTACTGACGGCTCTTCCATCGATGGCAAAACAGGTTATGCCTTTTTTGACCCTAAACATCAATACAAGCAACAACATTTGCATCCAACTTCAATGTCTGTTTATACAGCAGAACTAATTGCGATAGATAGCGCTCTCGATTACATACGAAAATTGGGTGATTCTAATTTTTGTATCCTCACAGACTGTCGAAGCATTGTAGATAGGATAAATAACATTACCCCAGAATATAAATGCAGAAACTATATTTTTGCCCAAATCTGTAGGAAAATGCTTGAGACAAAAGCATGGGAAAAAGGGTGGCATTGTGTTGGGTGAAAGGCCATGCAGGTTTATGGCAAAATGAAATGATGGACGCACTTGCAAAGGAGGCTGCAACATCAGGTCCAACCTTTGACATTAAAATTCCTAAAGATGACGGGAAAAACTTTTTGGAAAAGTTTTGTAGAAATCTGTGGCAAGAAAAATACAACGCATCAAATGTTGGCAATTATTACAGGTCACTGTTCACTGAGCTCAAGAAAAAGCTCCTCATGGTTTTCGGAAGGCGATAGCCCAGAAGGAATGTCAAAGAAGTTCTATTCTACTATTTTTAGACTGAAGACAAATCATGGCCTATGGGGTAGCTACAAGAAGGGAATCGGTTTGGCATCGTCTCCGAACTGTCCCACTTGCGATTGCCCTTCAAATCCTTCCCACATAATTTTTGAATGTCCAGAATATGAAAATGAAAGAGACAAACTGCTAAAAAATCTGAGCAAAGTCCCAAATATTTCAAAACCAATAAACTTAGAATCTGTCCTAATAAGCAACAATCCATCAGCTTTCAACATAATCTATGGATTTCTAAAGTCGATAAACGTTTCTTTTTGATTATCTTCAAGCATGGAAATTTAGAAGATGAGATGGAGCTGAATGAGTGGTGCGGGCGGCCGATCACGCTCGACAGTAAAATGAAAATAGAAGAAAACTTCATGGGTAATATGCCAGCGTAAACTAAAAAAAAAAAAAAAAAAGCCATCCAACATTCAGTATTTCACCATGGGAGAAAATGGACGTACAAAAGGCGTTTTCTTTGATAAAGCGGAAAAATGTCACCGAAACGTTGGATTTTGGAGATCATCTAACCTCCATCGTTCATATTAATAAAGTCAAACAAAATTTTGTTATGTACCTAAAAAATGTTTAACTTATCGAAAACTGCAGGCGTTGGGGAAAAGGTTTACAATTTTTACTGAATGTTAAAATCATAACTTATAAAACCTGATGATCACTTTTATTTATAAACATATTAATAAAACATTTGTGGTTAAAATAAATTATGTAAAAACCATGTGATAAACTTTTCAGTATGTATTAGATTTCCGAATAAATTATTTGTACAAATACACAAAATCTGCCGTTCTACTAAATTCTTCCAAGAGCTTTTCAACCACCATTGACAAAATTTTATAAACATGGCTGCTGATGCAAACACAGACGGTGATGAAAATTGCGATGATGCCTCATCACCAATAACGAGGGCTTACGAAACGAAACTCGACCAAGATTTTCTGTACTACCTCGACGAAGCTCACAGGGTATTTGAGAAGGCATCACTGAAACAGAAAGATAAAAGCTTAGTTACGGTATGTTGACTTTCAGAAAATCATCGGTTTCTGTAGTTACTTTTTTTTGTTGAACACTTTTTTTTTAATAAACTAGCCATATGACATTATAACGTCAGTTCCTTAAAATAATGTTGTTCATAAAGCCTCGTCTATTTTTATGTTATAACTGTAAATGTGATTTGGTTTTGAGTATGAACACCACTCGGTTTATCAAGTTACAAACAAAACACTTTATAAAGGCTACGACCTTATTGGTCATTAAAACTTGAGTCTATACAAGTCAACGGTGCAGCCCGGCCCCATCAGAGCGAAGCCCCGCAAACCCCGGCGCCGTGGCAGCCCAAGGCTTGGAAATAACGGAACCCCACGTATCTCTCGCAACTCATGCTTTTAACCCTAATATTGTGCACAGGGCTTTCTAGTCACCATCGACACCTCCTCCAAGCTCGCTGGAGATTCCTGATCTCAGAGTCCGGGGAGGCAATACAGCCCAAGATTGACCAGCACCCGAGGGGGTACGGGCGTCGCCAGAGGTCAGACGCGCCACACCGCCAACACGGGGAACCATCAAAGGAAACAAGAGTTGAGGGGATGGGATATTAAATTTTATCTATCAGTTGGATATCTGTTAAGAAGTTAAAAATTTTGTTTGTTGTTGAGTTGTTGCTTAGTATGCATTGGAGGTCTTTGGGGATTTGGTGGAGGGTTATTCTAGAGGTGTATAGGACAATCTATTAGAATGTGTGATATTGTGATAGTAGTTTTACTCAGAGATTGAATCATTAACTATTATCATAATCGTTTTTAAAGTGGTGTTGTGTGTATAAGTTTTTGATGAAATTTAATCATGTCGACAACAGTTTTCTTTATCTAAATTATCTTAAGCACGATTCTTACCATTTGAATTAGCCCTAGTTTGTTCTGAACGTTGATTTTATTATTATTTGACTCTATAAAAATTTAAAAAAGAAACCGAGATGTATATTATAAAACATGTGTTTTCACATCTGGTGAACAACTCAAGTTTCATAATATATACACAACAGAAGGCAGTGTATGATGTCAGATTCGAATTCTTGTGGTTTAAATATGTAGAGGGAGTGACAATTTGATGTCTTGAATTTGGTGAACACCTCAAAAATGGAGAACCATGACACCCTGAGAAAAAAATTTAATAACATTTTATTTTTAGCCTATTATATCATATTATAATAGTGATATTTTTTTCTCACGGTCGTAGCACTGAACCCGAAGGGCAAAATGCTGCCACTCTCTCGAGAAGGTCTCGAGGCCATAGTCGCTTAAAGGGAAGGGAATGTGGTGGGATGGCTTGAGCAGTAGGTTTAGTATGGGTCGAGAGGTTGGTATGAACCTTTTGGAATGTGGATACCATCAGTTCGTTGACAAAGCACAAAGTCCTTGTGGATAGGTTAATTTAGGTAGACCTTTGATTGGATGCATTGGATGTTGGCTGGTTTGGCAGAGCCCCTCAATTGAAACTCCAAAATCTTGTACAAGTCACTAGTTTTCGTGGTCCACTTGACCAATTAATTAAAAGATATTAATTGGTCAAGCGGACCACGAAAACTAGTGAACTGAATAAGTTAAAATGAAGTATATCTTCACTAAAGCTCTCCGAGGCCATTTCAATGTCGCCGAGAATCAAATAGATTACACTTACAGATTTGAAAAATGGCAAAAAAAGGAGGGAAAATTCGAAAGGTGAGGTTGAAATGGGAAGTTAGTGTTCGAATGGATCGAAGTCATGATAGCTCAGGTGGTAGAGTAGCGACGTATCTAGCCGAAGGTCGTGGGTTCGAATCCCGCTCGTGTTGACGTTTTTATCTCAACTAAAAACCTTAATTAATCTTGTCCAAGGTTAGTTGAGTTTTGACGGTCAAGCCAGAAAATAATTGAAAATCATGATTGTTTCTGTTTTAGATTTATTGACCAGTATGTATCTATTAGTTATTTCAATAGTTTGCAAACAAATCAAGTAAAGAAACACAAATCGTAGAAAGAAAAAAATTATTATAAAATCAATAAGAGTTACTGTCAAGTGGGTAAAATGATAGTACATGGTATTAAAGTTAATAATAATTAATGACCACTTGACAAAAGATTTCATAGCATATATGTATACACATGGAACAAAATGAATGATTATTTAAAAATGTTTTTATTTTATTGAAATTTTAATTGTTTTTAGTCTTGGTTTAATCGACTTATCGGCGAACCGTCGCAAACTGTTGATAAGAAAAAGCTTCGCAATATTTACCTTGTAGAACTCCTTCTGCAACTGTTAAACGGGACTTTGGAAGATGTTTTTAAGGAAAACCCTCCAGAAGGTCAGCTCGTGCCAGTGGACGAGGCATTCAGCTCGTACAAGAGAAAGAGAGGCATGGTACGTCTGTGAAAAGATAAAAATTGTACTCCGTAAATACATGATTTAATCAAGTCCGCAGACGAAATGCTAAATTCAGAATTGGATCCATGTGATCTGAAGCATATTTCCGAAGACAACAGAGTTTACTGCGCATGCAAAGCGATGCCCGACGATGGAGGAGCGTGTGGTTTTTTGGCAGTGTCATACGGCGGCGGAGACGCTGTTTGGCTAAGTGCTACAGGAGAGCAGATGTAACTTTAAGCCTTTTGCTTTCTCACCTGCTCATAAAATTTCACTAATAGTAATTATCAATCAGCGAACTTGAAGAACGAAATGATTTGACGGTAAAATACACAGTGTCCGGGGACGAAGATTGCAATATTTACGTGGAAAATCCCGAAGCCTCTTTTGTAAGTCTTGTGATTTTCTACTGTCTAAAACACGCATTAAGCTACTTTTTTCAGTTGAGATTTGAGCAAGATCCATCTCGAAGAGACAAACTGAGATGTTTTTACCAAGAGATTTTGGACGCAATCGACAAAGAGTTAAAACTAATACGAAAACAACCCGGATGGTTTGCCGGAATTCAGCATCCAGCAGTCAAAAACTTGGCAAACAAAATTTTGGTACGTCTCTCCAATATATCTACAATTCCGATGTCACATTTGCTTAAATTTTATATTTATCAACTTATAAAAACTAGTAATGTGTTTTCAAAATATTCGAATAGTAAATTTTAGTTCTTGATGAAATTATTAAATTTATTTATTTTAGAACAGCATAAAACCTGGCCAAACTGGCAAGACGATGGATGTTCACGACCTGAATCCAATTTTATACGCGCTGAAATTAAAGATTCAATGCAAGCTCGAGGTAAGTGAAGGCCCAGGTTTGGACAAAAATTAGAGAAATAATACAAAAAACTGTTGAAATCAGGATGAATCGTTGGCGGGCGAAAACCTTCCGACTGAATTTAACCAGGACGCCAAATTGGTAAACATGGGGAAAAGGATCTATCCGGTCGACGATCAAGAGATTTGGTGTGAAGCTTTCAAACTGGATATAACTGAATTCAGTTTAAACCAACTAGTACAAAATTATCCAAAATGTCTTGTTGATGCGTAAGTAATTCGAACAAAGCCCCGATGCGTTCAAATAGAATTTAATATATGTATTAATAATTATATATAGTTCTGGTAGTAGTCAGCAATCATGAATATTGTAAATTGACTTGGTAAATGTATACGTTTGTTTATGTATTTCTATTAATTCTATCACTATCACCATTACACATGATATATAATATTTGAACTAAAATAAAGTTTTTCATCGGTTTAAAATAATTTATCGACATAAATCCTGTTTCTGATAAAATCTACATTATCTGTCAAAAATAAAACCAACGACCTGGTTTTTGCACGAAAAATGGCCAAATTTGAAAATGAATATTTTCTCAGCCTTTTAAATCACAGACCTGCGCTAGGTCTCATTTTTGAAAGAATTTTTAATATTAAGCCAAACAAAATGCTTTTTAAATGTTTTCCTAGTTTCAGCCAATCATCAATAAATTCAAAAAATTCGGGAACACGTTAATTTTGCACTTTTTAATAAAATTTCAAATTGAGTGGAGCTGAGAAAATCGTCCTTGCAATCAATAGGAAATTTTAATAAGCTTTTAATTGGTCACCTTCTACATTCCCTGATTTCTCAACCGCTTTCGAGTTATTCGCGATTTTTGGGCAAAATCGCTCTCTCCCCCGATTTTCAAGAACGCATAAATTTTGAACCGTCATGTTTTCGCAAATTTTACGCTCTAGAACTTTTGTACCGAGGACTTTTTCAAAAAAGTGAACAAGGAAGAAACACTTTCTTACTTTTTCTTACTTTCACCTTTTGGGATGCGGAATGCTTTTGCTGTCGATAATCACTTATTTACCTTATCACGGAAATTCAATTTTTCCTTCCCATTTCACAGGTGTGGCAATTTGACTTCGAATAACGTATTGAAAAAATAAGTTTATGTATGGTAAAATTAGGAGAGAGGGTGATCGGTTTTTCCATGAGCAAGTAAAAGACCACGTTTTTTGCCCAAAAATCGGAAATAACTCCAAAACGGTTGAGTAATCGGGCAAAGTGAAAGTGACCATTTGAAACCTTATTAAACGGTTTTATCGGTTGTTAAAGGGCGCCGCTCGAGGACGATTTCCTGGCTTAACAGTTCAATTTGAAATTTCCGTAAAAATGGGTGGTGATTAGTTCCGTTACTCGATGATTATTCGGAAATCGTGAGATGCGGTCGGGTGTGATGTAGGTTTCAGAAAATCATTTTCTTTATCGTGCCAACATTTCGATCTTTTATTGAGATCATCTTCAGGGCTCAAAGAGTTTGTCTTCTGTGTAATTGTGCCATCCTTGCGTGTCGTGTTGAAAGTGCACTCAAGGATGGCACAATTAGACAAAAGACAAACACTTTGAGCCCTGAAGATGATCTCAATAAAAGATCGAAACGTTGGCACGATAAAGAAAATGTTTTTCTGAAACCTACATCACACCCAACCGCATCTCACGATTTCTGAATAACTTTCGTAAAAAGTACAAAACATGTTCCCAATTTTTTAATTTATTGATGAATGACAGAAACTAGGAAAACATTTAAAAAGATATCTTTTCAGCGTAAAATTTTCTAAAAAAGGACCTAGCGCAAGTCTATGACTTAAAAAGCTGAGAAAATATGCATTTCCAAAGTTGGCCATTTTTTCGTGCAAAAATCAGGTAGTTGTATTTGTTATATACATGCATTAATATGTGAACCATTTGCAACATGGTAATTAAACTTAAATATAAAAAATTAGTGGTTATATTTATTTTTCAGCTTTGTTACTCTACTAAATAAGCAGAAAGGTGTTATATTGAGTCAAGAACAGCGCTCTTACGAAATGCTTATTGTAGAAGTTCAAAAAGAGCTGTATAAACTGATCAGACAGGACCAGCAGGCGTACGAGGTGACTTAATTTGATGCGCCTTTCGCGTTGCATAAATAACGATTTGCCTTTGTAGGCTGCGTATGACGAGTATAGAAATCTGGCCAAAATTCGTGACTCAATTGGACACAATGAAAATAATCTATCTCGACAATTGGAACAGAGCAGGGAAGCAGTTGCAGAAATGGAATTTAAACTCAAATTGTGTGATGACGACAGAGAACAGATAAAAGCGCTTATGAGAGAAATAAAAATCGTAGACGATGCATTGAGCGTAGGTTTCCTTTCTATTATCGAAGTATTGTAAACATTACTAATTTAATATTTTATATCAGGTGATTTTAAAGGAGAAAGAGGAAGTGGAAGAAATTATCAAATCTGTAAATGATAAGTTACGGAGTCTGAGTAATACTGATCGAAAGGGCAATATAAAAAGCAACGTTTCCACATCTGCAAATTATTTGAATAAATTGCAATCGTTGATAGAACAACAAGAGGTACAAATAAACTGGCTTCAGCATAAAAAATTTTTGAGAGAAATGCAAACGAAAAACCATTAATATCCAAGAGTGGTTATTAATCCTAACGTAGCATCCCCTTAATTAGTAATAAAAATTAACTATGTGTTTGAATGAATAAATTTACAATTTTTTAACTAGCTGACTATAAACAACTGAATTATTTACCCGTTTCGAAACTAATCTCCGCTTTGAAACAGTAAACCCGTCCACATGGGTCGACTCGTTTGCAACCCGAGTTTCAATTCAGTTGCACTTGCAACTGTTTGGTGACCTTGTCGATGTAGGGGAAAGGGATCCACATACCGGTCGACTGAAACGAGAATTGAAATCATCCAACTGGTTTCGTGCGATCGTTCTTCCCCGTCAAGAAACGATTTCAGTTGCATGGTTGCACCGTTTCACACCAAATATGTGCGTATTTTCTATGAGTGATCAAGAAATAAACATAACTTCCGTGGGAGAGATCGTGAAACTTGAAGTACTATACTATTACAAACTCGGTGGGTATTCCAGAAAGGAAACAAAGGAGAAATTTGATTTGATTTGTTTGATTCAATTGTTCTGCTGTACGAGCAGCCTGGAGTTCATATTTCTCTCTAGGGAGACAAAAATGATAATAATACTTTATTTGACAGATGATATAAATAACAAAACACACTCTTTTAAAAAAACATAAGTATTTACAGTAATGAAATATACATCTATTTGAAATCAAGATTACTAACGAAATATTGATTTTTTTAAACAATGAAATAGCTAATAAGTTATAATAATATTCTCTGTGTTTTATAATATAATCAGAAAGAAAAAAAAATAATCTGATGAATACAGAACAAGATAAATTTATATACAAGTAATTAAGTAAATTTTTTTTTAATAAAAAATTAAACTCTTGTACCAGTTCTCAGCGATAAAACTAGCTATGATGAGCAAGTTTTATTGGCTACAGGCTTGGCTCATTTAAAAGTATGACGAGGCTTTCTTCCAGAAGAACAGCACTAATCAAATATGAAGCATCTCGGACAGAATGGTACATTTAGCCAAAAACGATGGTTTCCTTTTCCTTGTATTGCCCAGAGAGCAGATTTCCGTCTGGCAGCCTGTTAAGGAACAGAAGTACACCTCGGAGTTTGAAGAGCCTATGGAGATCCCTCAGTTTTAGTGTTCTTCCGTGTTTTTTATTCGCCAAGCAGAACACATCGAGATTTTGATCGAGCTTCTTGTATGTACGAAACTCTCTTTTGTCAACGTTCATTCAAAAAACCCTTGCTTTTACTGGACCTTATATTGAAAAGAACGCATTGGAATTCATCCATTCAGAAATATTGTCCCGAGAGAATCGGAAAGAAGAATGGTATCTGGACGACACTGTTCCCTTCGTATTGCTGCGGTATTGATAATAGGCAATTATGACTTCTTCGTTTGAACTATTTGACCCATTTTGTCACAGACAGAAAACACAGATCGGGAATCAGTCACGATCCTGTATGGACAAAGGTTTCATCGTGGTTGCAAACTGGTTTGAAACTTGCATTGCAAATCAATCGACCCATGTGTGAGGGCCTAAAACAACAATTCGAATTCCCTATTGACATTTAGTACATTCTAGACTCCTTTCCACTGTCCAAAACCGACAAGGGTACGGGAGTTGGAGCCTTCGAGATGACGGTAAACCAAGGTAAATGTGCTACAGTTTTCCAGTCTGAAATCATCGCGATTGAACAATGCGCCAGAGATATAAAAAGGCTAGGAATACCCGAAAGATAGCCTTTTCTCTGACAATGAGGCAGACGAACGGCCCTAGCTTCTGCGAGGCGAAGGCAAAGAGTGTAACTGCATGGAGGCCCTGAAGTCAGCGATACGAATGACCCTGGCATTGGTCCCTGGGCACTCGAGGCATAGAGGCAACGAAAAGGTTGACATGTTGGCCAAAAAGGGAGCCTGAACCTTCCTTGGCTTAGCAACCTGCCACAAAAGAAGATACATCTTAAAATGGATCCTTAATGAGTCCAAACCCTGGTAGAGCAATCCACAGATATGAGGCCCGCAAAGAAATTCATAGATGGATCATCCGCAAAATTTACAAAAGAATTACTGCAAACTCAACCGAACCAGGATGCTGGTTGGACTCCTGGCAGGACATTGCCACTTAAGAAAGCACATGCACCGGATAGGAGTACAGACAGAAGAAATACTGTGCAGATACTGCCAGCAAGAGGAGGAGACCGCAGAACACATTCTATGTTTCTAGATCTTTGTAGGTGCAGGTTCTTGCAACTAGAACAAGAAAAACCGCAAGCCAGATCCTACACTAAGGAGCCGCTGGTAACGTTATTGAAGCTGATTAACAACTTGAAGGTGGCCAGTGAGTTATAAATAAAAGGGAAACACATTAGATCTATTCAGGTCGAGGTGCAATAGGACTTATGGCTGCCTCTTTTATCTCTATCCCTATCCATTTCCATTGTGATATGGCGCTTGGGACCCCTGTTTGCCTCCTACCTTTCCTCTGTCTTTATCTTACTTTTGCTGGGTTTTTCATTTATTTATTTACATAATTATTAATATATTGTGTCAACGTCGTATGCACAGACCCACAGGGCGGGTAAGCATGAACGATGTCCACCGATGATAGGAGCCGTCAGTTCAGCAACAGGGTGGAGATCACTTGGCCTCACATCCTATGCCAGGCAGATTTTTAGTGTCAAATAAAATAAAATTGAAATGTTTGATGAGAAGGGAAAAATCCTTGTAAAAATTCAATTTTTACTTAAATATGTAAACTATTCCAAAGCAAGGCTATAACGTAGCCGTACGTCTCATTTGGGACGCAGTTCGACTCAAAAAACACATCTCACTCGGAGTGCCCAAGTCGTGTCGTGAAACTTCCAACTCTCAACTTTTCTGACAGAATATTAAATTAAAAGGAAAGACTTAAAAGAGGAGGGTGGCAGGGGTGAGGATTGAGACGGTGAATCTATAGCTGTTAAGATTGAACCCCGACTACCCTCTCTTCAGACCGAGCATCCACTTTCACGTCAATTCACTAAAAACGACTTTTTGAAAAGATGAAGAGGGACACTAATTACCAACTGTCAAAGAGCCAAGAGTCCCTTTTGCTCCGCCTTTGAAGTAAATCTTTCCAATTAGCCATACAACCCGTTGGCGACGTCTGCGCTAGGACAAGAAAAGAAAATTTTCTCCAAACCCAAAGTGGAATTTATAATGTATGTATTACCTCCTTGTAAAATAATGCTATAGCGATAGACCTTATTGCACTCCTCCAAAAGCTATAAAAAGACAATCGTAAAACCACACGAACGGAATTGAGATAAATTTTCAATTGTAACACATAATTCACACACGATTTAAAATAATTTGTTTGTGTTGGTTAATTTGTTAAACGCAAAATTACTTGAGTAAGTTTACAATAGTTCTGAAAGGTTATTAAATTGTTGTCCCATAAAATTCGTAAAGGTACTCTTTATGGGGTGGGGCTTTTCGTCCGGGCATCCGGACGGCTTTAACTAGGCTTTGGCGGGCAGTTCCTTTCATGGCATCGTTAAAATAGTACCACTGCAGTTAGAAAAGTGCTCACGCCCCAGGCTGCGGACAAGTCTCAATGGCTGATTCCCGACTCCCAGGCAGTGAGAAACTAACAGTGCCGGGTGTCGCCTCTCACTGTACCTCTTCCGTACACTCTGGCCCGTCCCTCCGTCCTCAAGACTTTAACTTAGGAGGCTCAAAACCATGCGACTTTAAGGGGCTGCTCGTCTACGAGCCGTCGCACGACCCAAGTGGACGGGCGCTGCGGCGCTCCGTCGTAGCATGGTTCGTCCTTCGGGGAGTTCGATGTCAAGACTTTATTTAAGACTTTATTTCCGAGCGGGTTGTTGTACTCGGGGGAGCAGTTGCCTCGCTGCGTCTCTTGAGACTCACTCTTACTCGGGGGTTTCGTATCCAAAGAAACGAATCGAGACCCCGTCCCTCAAATGTGAGAAAACACTGGCCAATGTAACTAGAAGTGCGAAAAGTTTTTGATTATTTCCGGGCGAGGTGTTGTACTCAGGAGAGTAGTTGCTTAGATGCGATCTGACACTCACCCTTGCTTGGGGGATTCGTATCCGAAGAACGGGATGGAGACCCCGTCCCTCAAATGTGAGAAAACACGGAACAATACATTTACGAGTGAGAGAAGTTAAGACTTCTCTTTATTTACTCGCATTTGTAAAACAGGAGCAAATGACCGAGAACAGGTGAACCATCGACACCTGAGTCCGTTAACATTCACGTCGCAAAGACGGACGAGGCTTTGGATCAAAGTGGATAGACTGCCTTTGTCAGCGCTATGCGAGCTTGTCAAACCGCGAGTCTATTCTAAGTAGTCTTGCGAGTGTAAGAAAGTGGTCTCCCGAGGAGGAAGGCCTTTGACGAGAGCGAAGACTGATACGAATGCCATCGATTCGTAGAAGGATGTGTCACAATCGTTGGCCTCGGACTAAATCTTCGAGCTGTCCTTAGGGAAAGGAACAGGGAAAGAAAGACCCAACGGCGACTTGACTAACTAAGGTGCGTTTTGGTTAATTTACGGAGAGAGCGAGCGTCGAATGTATTCATAGCGTGAACGAAAAGATAGATCATAGATCAGTACTGAAGAGGGAGGATTTGTGTCCGAAGAAACAGAACGACTTCCAGGTGCTCATATTCACTGCCCTGAGTACGCGCCTCGACCTGGTTAATCGGACGTGGTGACTTCGCCGAAAACCCTACTGTATACATGACTTAACTAGAAGGATGTACTGCATGAAAATTTAATTTTGATCGTATTCAGGACTCGGACCCAGGCCGCGATGTTGAACCCACGCCGATTTGCTGAGTTCGTGGTAGGATAACGCGGAGAGAGCAGGATTTCAATATATTCATGGCTTGAGAGGAAAGAGATTGTAGATCCGTACTGAAGGTGGAAGATTCTTGTCCGAATAAACCAGAAGAGACCTTCAGGTGCCCTCACTCACTTCGTCGGGTATGTCACGACGGGGTTCACTA